GGAGACAGCAGAACTCAGGGCCCTCACAGTGATCTAGTCTAACTAAAAGTGGGAGCTGCAGGTACCGCAAGAGACACTGTCTCAGAAAACAAGGCAGAGAGTGACAGGACTCCTGATGCCAACCTCTGGGTTCCACACATACACTCATAGGTACACACACACACACACACACACACACACACAGTAAAATTTGAAAAAAAGGAAAGAAAAAAAATAAAAAGAGAATTGACAGTGAGTGCTGAGGTGCTTCACTGAGGCCAAAGAAGGGCCACTGAGGAGGAAAAAACACATTTTGGTCAGAGCTGTCATGGTGGCTCATGCAGGTAAACTCAACAAGTGGGAGACAGAAGGATTAGGAGGCCAAGGCATGAGAAGTCATGCCTTGGCTCAGTGGGCCATGTCTTAATTTCCCTTTTTAAGTTTATTTATTTATGTATATGTTAGTCTGTAGACATGAACATGTCACCTACAACCTGAAGAGGGTGTTGGGTTCCCTGCTAGAGCTGAAGTTACTGGGCTGTGAGCCTTGAGGTGTTGGGAATTGAACTCAGGTCTGGCCGAAGAATAGCAAACAACCTGCTTCCTTTCCTTTTTCTTTTTTCCTTTCTTATGAATGAGGAAATAGAAGTAAAACCAAGGGGTAGGGAGACGTGGGGTTCATGTGATAGGGCACAAGCTAGAGTTAGCTAAGAGAGATGAGTGTCGATGTTCAGCTGCAGGTTTATTGCAGAATAATAATGTGTTTATATTTCAAAAGCTGAGATGTGATATATGAGTGCCTGGACTTTGTCCCCATGACAGAGGAAAAAGCTAGAAGAAAGTTCCCCACTAACAGGTGAGATTTTTGTGCGTCAAAAATTACAAAATTAAAAAAAAAAAATCTAAAATCAGGGTCTGAGAGTGGAGCACGGGGGTAGAGCACTTTGCCCCGAGTTTGCGTCACAGCACCAAGATGTTAAAAGAAGCGGAAACCTCCACGTAGCATCCTGCCACGTCAGCATGAGCTGGGTACTTTGCCACATTTGTGGGGCCGGTTCTAGCCTTTACTGTTTTTCTTAAATTATATTTACTTGGTGTATGTGCTTTTGTATGTGTGGAGGTCAGGGGACAACTTGAGGGACTCAGGTGTCTCCTTTCGCTATGTGGGTCCCAGGAATGAAACTCAGGCCTTCAAGTGTGGTGCTGGGTCCTCTGCCCGTGAAGCCATCTTGCTGCCTGCCCCTTTCCCCTGCCCTTCTTCACACGCTGTGCAAACTTGTGTTGAATATGAGTTCTGGGTAAGTCTAGCACTAGGCAAATCACCTAAGTTCAACTAAATGTTTTTTTAATTTATTTTTATGTGCACGAGAGCTTCGTCTGCAAGCATGTCCCTGTGGCACACACGTTTGTGGGTGCTGGGGGTTACACCTGGGTCCTCTGCAAGAGCAGCAAGTGCTCTTCAGTGCTGAGCCGTCTCCCCGGACCCCCGCACTGGTGTTTTCAGCCTTTTACTTTGTAGTGTGTAAGGAAGAGCTACAGTGCTGGGATAGGGCCCGGCTGACAGAGTGCAGATGTAGCGAGCATAAAGCCCTGGGTTCGATTCCTGGTACTTCCTAAACCAGGAGCCGTGACGCATGTTCGAAATTGTGAGTCTCAGGAAGTGGAGGCAGGAGGATCAAGCATTCAAGGGCATCTTCCGCTACCTAGTTAGATAGAGTCCAGCCTGTGGCCCATGAAACAGCAACAACAACAAAAAGTTATAATGGTGGAACGGGGGTTCCTTGGTCCGTCTTCCCTTAACGTCACACAGCCATGCACAGTATCCAGGGCCAAAGGGCAGTTGCTCTTGCAGGTTTGGTCCCTAGGACCCAATGGATGGCAACTTACAACCACCTATAACTCCAGTTCCAGGAGATACGATGCTCCCATCTGGCCTCCAAGGGCACCAGTCACAAACATGATATACATACATAGGTACAGGCACTCACACATACACATAAAAATAAGTATAATGTTGACACACCACTAACTAAACTATAGTTAGTCTGGATTTTACTAGTTTCTTCACTGCTCTCTCTCTCTCTCTCTCTCTCTCTCTCTCTCTCAGTGTGTGTGTGTGTGTGTGTGTGTGTGTGTGCGCGCGCGCACGCGTGTGTGCTGTTCCAACATTCCTTCCAGGCTACATGCACAGTATGTTCAGCTGTCAAGCCTCCTTGGTCTTCCTAGCTATGATAAACCTCTCAGTGTTGCTTTTGCACTACCCTGGCACTTCCTTTGTTCGTCTTCGGAGACAAGGTCTCACTCTGCAGACCAGGTCAACCTCGAACTCATGCCATCCGTGCGGCTTAGCTTCCCAGGTGCTGGGACTGCGGGTTGTGAACCACCAGATTCAGAACCTTGGCCCTTAAAAAGCACAGGGCTTCGATATTTTCGTAGCCGGTGCCTTGAGGCCTTATCTGGAGTTTCTCAGACTCGGACTGTGGTTATTGGTTTAGAGGAAGCTTGCAGGCGTGACGCACCCCTCGCCTTGAGCCGGGGCAGGGATGTTGAACTTAGTGATTTCAAGGTCATGTCTGCTCTCTGGGTTTTTTGTTTTGTTTTTCTTCTCTGTAGATTCCTCTCCTTTCCTTACTTAAGAATTGAGTCTCAGGGCCCAGTCCTCAGTCAAGGGTGAGAGAACGGGTCCTGCTTCTCAGGAGAGGAGCATCCAGTGGGGATGACTATTACTCCGCTGTGGTGACTAGGAGACACCTTGAGGTTGCACCAACACTGTGTTTCTCTGCAACGTCTCATTCTTTTTGAGTACTGGACAGCGGGTCTCGCCTACAGCGATTCTTCAGGTACACGAGGAGAGCACTTCTTGACATGAAACACCACATCACCCACTGTTTCAGGAAGCATGCAATGCCGATTAGCTATTGTGAAACCAGCCTTTGGACTGTCAACCACAACCAAACCCACACACTCTCGATGAACTTAAAACATATTCCGGGCTCATTCAGAGCCGGGACTCACTGCAGTGGCCATACTGAGTCCAGTGAAATCTTGCCTCCTTGGAAAACAGTTCTCACCCCTGCCCTGCTCGGCAGCTCCAGCTCACCTCAGCCTCAAGCTTTGTAACCTCCTTCCCGTCACTCTGAAGCCCAAACAAAAACAGAGTTAAAAAAAGAAAAGGAAAGAAAAAGCTTGTTTAGAGCTTTCATTTGTGACCACAGTATCATCTAGCTGTAAGTGACGAGGTCCCCAGCAGGCCAAGCCAATTTAGGTTCTTTCCTAGAGGGGGCATTTTATGGGAAAAGAGAATGGCTTGGAAAACTAGTTTGTGTGAGTGTGTATGTGGTGTGTGTATGTGTGTGTGAATGACTGTGTGTATGCGTGTTTGTGCGCACACGCGCACATACTACGGCATGCTTGTGAAGCTCAGAAGACACTGCAGGGATTGGCTCTCACCTTCTACCAGGCAGGCTCTGGGGACTGAACTCAGGTCTTCAGGCTTGGTGGCAGATGGCTTTAGCCACTGTGCCATGTCTCCGTCACAGAAACTTAATTTTCAATCAGAAGGAGAAAGAGACTGTTGCCTGGTTATTCAAGAGGTGAGGCCTGCTGGAGCCCGCTGGCAGAGTCGAACAGTACCTGAGTGGGGAGTGAAGACAAATCACACTACACATGGGGTTGGCGTGAGAGGGCTGTCAGTCTGACTGAAGCAGAGCCGGTCTATTCCAGGGTTCATTATTTATAGGCAAAGCAAAAACAAGTCACATCAATACAAAAAGAAAAAGGTGTGGAAACACCTAACTTCTTTTCAAAAACTGCTTCCCCAGGTGAAAACATAACAAGGCAGCTTAACAAGCAACTCTCCACACCACAGTGTGAGTCCTAATGATCCAACTCAGCTGTCAATCTTGGCCGCAGGTGTGGTGCCTTAGCAAGAGGCCATTTGCATCCAGGTGCCAGAGGCTTCCAGGTTACCTGGAGGGTTCGGGACTATCCAGCTAAACTATAGACTTGGAAATGAAAGGCAGGCACACCTTTCCTGGCTGTCTTCCAGTGTCACCCTGTGAGTTCAATATTGAGGTTCTGGGCCTGTCTCTCAGGCTGGCTTTGTCTGTAGCTGTGTCTCACGGCTCTCCACAGAGGTCCTAGGCTTTGGGGATAATTTTGCTGCTTTCCATTGGGTAGGCACTGAAAAGAGGGCTTTCCTCACCCTTCTCTGCTTGGAAAAAGGGTGTTGTCTATTCTGACGGCAGCCATGTGCCGGGATGGTGGGAAGTTTCTCTGGATAGTAGCTTTGTGTGAACTCACAGGACATACTAGGCAGTCAGCTGACAGTGGGGTTCAGGCATGGATGGACTCAGCTCAAAGAAAGCAAGTGATGGAGCCCGAAAGAGCTGGTTTGTATTACACTCAAGTCTCCTGGTAGTATAGCACCGGGCAGGTCTAAGTTCCCTTTAGACAAGCCAGAAGTGTTAGGAGGACTTGAGATGATGGGTGTAACACTTTTGAAATAGTATCTGGAAAATAACACACATTCATAAACGGTAATAAGAATAACTTGATAACAGTAATAAAAATAAGCTGGGCATAATGGAATGTTTTTAAGCCCAGCTCCCAGGAGGTAGAAGAAGGAGGATCTTTGTAGCCCAGCCTGGGCTACATAGTAAGTTTCAGGCCAGACAGAGTTACATAGGAAGACTGTCTACAAACAAACAACTAAATAAAATAACGTCTGGGGCTGGAGAGATGGGTCAATAGTTAAGGGCCCTAGCTACTCTTCCAGAGGACCTGAGTTTGATTCCCAGCACCCACAACTGTTGGCACTCCAGTTGGAGAGGATCAGGCACCTTCTTCTGGCCTCCATAGGCACTGTGCAGGCACACATGGCAGGCAGACATATATGCAGGCAAAATGTGTGCCGCACACGTAAAAACAAATACATAAATCACTAAAAACATCTGTTGGCTGGTTACTGTATTGGAAGCAGAAATAGGCATTTCATGTGCTTATCTGTTTGTCTTTGACAGTGCCCTGTGCTGCTCGGGGTGGTCTTCAGTTCCTTTGTAGCTAGGAATGACCTTTAACTCCTGAAGAGCCTCAGCCCTCACCCTCCAAGCGTCACGGGCCTTCACCGCCACACTTGGCCTACCTGTGGTTATCACTTCAATGTCTACATAAGTGCTGTGAGTAACTGCCCTTTGTATTGTCCTCACTCTGCAACAATGGAATTGAGGCTCAGAGCTGAATAACACGTTTAACGCTCCCGCAGGCAGGCCATGGGTGGGGCTGCGCTCTGGATAGAAGCAGCGCGACAACAACACCTTGATAAAGCACACTGTATACGCGTGACCGCCGCCCCCATGCCACAGACATAAGCCACACTGTCTGAAACCAGGCACTGTGGTGCACACCTGTGATGCCAGTATTTGGGAGGTGGAGGCAGGAGGGTTAAAAGTTCAAAGTCAAGGCCAGCCAGGGAAAGGCCTGCCAAAAAAAAAAAAAAAAAAAAAAGGCTACAGGTTTCCAGGACAATATGGCCCGTGCATGGGCTGCAGCTTAGCTCAAAGAGCCGGTCCAGGTCTCCCTCACTGTTTAATGAGATATTTGCGATGTCAGTGTCTTTGAGGGTTGTTTTTATTTAATTTTAACTTTCAGATGAAGGGCTGGAGCGATGGCTCAGCTCTTAAGAACATTGTTGGCGCCTACGATGGGAGGACACAACCACCTGCAATTTCAGCTCCAGGAGACTCTTGGGACTTCTTTTGGCCTCCAAATGTAACTGCACACTTGCGCACACCCAAGGAGGCACACAGGTACATAGACGTACTCATGCATTTTTTTAAAACCCAGAACTTGAAAATGGAATGTATTTATTTGCTTATTTGTTTACTTTGTGTGTGTGTGTGTGTGTGTGTGTGTGTGTGTTCGAATATGCACAACTTGAAAAAACTGGTTCTCTTCTTCCTCTGTATGGGTGCCAGGGATTGAACTCATGTTGTCCAGCTTGGCAGCAAACACTTTTACCCCCAAGCCATCTTGTTGTTTCAGAGTTGTTTTTTTTTTTTATAACTCTTTAGCAAGGGTAACACAGGTCAAAAGATACGAACCCTGAACATGGTAAGATCCAGGACAGACAGGCTGTGGCCGCATAGAAACGGCTAATGAACAACACTGAATCCTTCCACAGTGTTCCAGCGTTCCATTTGAGAGAGAGAGACGGCTTCCCAAGATGTCACAAAAATGTCCTAAAAGTCTCTATTCATTTATTACTTGCAATTTTGTTTTAGACGGGGCCTTGCCATGAGCCCAGGCTGACCTCCAGTTGAGATGGCCCCTGCCTCTGTCACAGTGCAGGACCACGGTCTGCCTAAGTCCCCAAGGTCTGAAGGTAGGAAGCTACATGCAGAGTTTAACAAACCAGAGTTTCTCGTTAACAAATAATGTGAGTTGAGGCAGGGGCGTAGAGTGCCTGCCTCCCATCCATGAAGCCCCGGGTTCCGTCCCCACCTGGTGTGGTATGGATGTGGTGCTGCAAAGTTTATACCGGGAGGTAAAGACTTTAGAACCAGAAGCTCACGGTTGTTCTCCGGTGCATAGAAAGTTTAAGACCAGCCCTGGGACACATGAAAAAATAAACAAGGAAATAAAAGTGATTCGGATGATTCACTTTTATCGAATAAAAGTGATTTCCCGAAAACACGTTTTTGCATAGCTCTAGCCACTGATGATTTCTCCCAGGGGTGAGGTGGGATTGAAGGTGCAACCTCTGTAGCTTACCTTCCCCTGGCTCTCACCCCACCCCTCCGTAGCTTACCCTCCCCCATCCCACATACTTTCAGGCCTTCTTAAGCTCTGGGTTCTGAGTAGGGACAACTCAGAATTTACTGTTTAAAAGGAGCCTCCTGAATCTTTAGGGCTTGGGAGTGAGAATAAAAGTATCTTACTTCTACTGTGGGTGACTCAGGGCACCAGGAGAAAGACGCTGCAGAGCCGTGACACATGGCAGCAAAAACAAAGGTAGGATCAGATGGCTTTAGTGGCCTTTAGCTCTTGCTCACCTTGGGCACAAAAAGTCAAGCAGGTTCCCTTCTCTTGGGATTTAGAAGGCCTGAATGTGCTTGACTGACTCACAATTAAAACTGGAGGAGGGGGTACTGTCCATAAAAGTGGGCTGCTCGAATACCCCATGAGTCTATGTCGAGGGCCTGGAGAGATGGCTCCGTGGTTAAGAACAGATTCTGCTCTTTCAGGGGACGTGAGTCAAGTTCCCAGCACCCACAGAAGGTGACCAACAAGTACCTATAACTCCAGATCCAGGGGGATTCAACACCTCTGGCCTCTGCGCGCGCGCGCGCACACACACACACACACACACACACACACACACACGATTTTAAAAATAGTAAAAATGTTTCGTTTTTTTCCATAACAGGAGTAAGCAGTGGTTCCCTGCCACTCCATGTCCTGCAGGGGACAGTGATTTCTGGAATGCAGACTCACACACAACGTACTCTCCATCACCTCTCCATCGAGAACCCACAAAGCCTCTTTGTGTGTGCCAGGCTGGAGCTGCTTGGTGGTTGGAGGGACCTGGGAAGGGCTGGCGTTGTCCTCGGAGGGCCCAGTGAGGGCACCTTCCATCACCCAGGCAAGAGCCAGGAAAAACAGAGCCAGGAGGAAAAAGAACCTTGCCAGCACAAAGCTCCAGTCTTTTGGAAAAAGCAGTGTCACACCTGACGGTTGCTTATGCCACGCAACGGGGTGTCCATTATTCATTGTGTTTCCAGACAAAAGGGCTTTCTGTTTCCGTCTGAGGCCAGGCTGAGTACAGGAACCAAGGTACAGAGCCCCCTCCTCACCCCCACGCTCTGTCAGTCTCCTGCACCCACCCTACAGACGACCCACCTAGCACTTTATCCCAGACCCCGGGAGCCAATTTCATAGACGCTCTCAGGCCAGGTGGAAGTTGGGGTACGTTGTGCCCCCCAGACCAAAGCTGAGCGAAAGCACGGGTTTCTTCTATCCTCCAGCCTCCCCTCACCCAGCACCAGTGAAGACCTTCCATGTCCACACCTGCTTCCTCTCCATCCCCACTGGCTCTCATGCCCCTCCCACCACACCAAGCTCCTCTCAAGGAAGACAGACCTCCCCTTGGTTTGTCTGTGGCAGATGGAACGGGGTGTCGCTCTCTTGGAGGTTTTTATTTTTACTTTTTGTTGACAGGGCTGTCATGCAGCCCAGGCTGCCCTTGAACTCACTACACAGATGAGGATGACACCGAGCTGATCTCTGCTTCCCAAGCACTGAGCTGACAGGAGGCCCCACCACACCTGGCCCTCACAGAGATTTGTAGCTCTCACACACTGGTTCTCAAAGTCATCCAACACAAACTTTGTCTCTAGTATTTGAAGGCAGAAGAAAATTAATAATAAGAAGAGCTTGGGATTTGGTTGGTGTCTAGTGGGATAAGCAGGGGCAGACGGGGCTCTGGACAGTACACGGAGGGTGTTTCTGAGGATTTGGCTCTTGGTTCTGGTCTGACGACCTGGGGCCAGTCCTCCCTGAACTGGTACCCGATCAAGTGTCAGCAAATGACTGATAGAGGAATGTGTCCTGGTCAGGCCATCTGTCTGCTTCTCAACCTCAGTTTCTTCATGTATAGAATGGGGACAGTGATCTCTTTCAGCCCTTGAGTCTCAGGTAGGATCAGTTTGGCAGGCAGTTCAGAGAAGTGAGACCCTGAGTCTTTACAAGGCTAAAAAGAAAGTTAGCCAGCTTGGATGTAACTGCCTTCCCCATTTCTCCCTTTCTGAGTTTGTATGCATGCATGCATATATATTCATACATGTATGTATTTTGAGACAGGGTCTTCTGTGAAGCCCTCAAACTCGCAAGCCTCCCTTCTTATTCTTTCTGGTGCTGATTATAGCTGTACAATACCATACCCATCTCTTGAGTAATTTTTTTCCCTAGTTTTCTATCTCCTTCCAACTTTCCCTAACAAGATCTGTCTTGGTAAAGGACCCACTTAGCAGTCATTCCGCTACCTACTCAGCTCCCAGTCTCTCACCCTGGTCTCTGACTGGTGGGAATAACTTAGTGGTCACAAACCCTGTACTTCAGTAGTTTCCCGATGGCAGGTTTCCGTACTGGATCTTTAGGTTGTGTCAAAGACTAGAAATCTGCCTTTCTTGTATGTGTGTGTTTTCGAGAAAGGGTTTCTTTGTGTAGCCTTGGCTGTCCTGCACTCGCTTTGTAGACCAGGCTGGCTTCAAACTCACAGAGATCTGCCTGCCTCTGCCTCCCCAAGTGCTGGGATTACAGACTTGTGCCACCAAACCTGGCTATGAAATCTGCTTTTCAAAACAAGCAGGGACTTGGGACTTGCTCATGGAGCTTAGGAGAACACTGGTTCCTAGAGCTGGGAACTTCAGGAGTGACTGGTGTTGCAGAGAGACAAGGGTCCCAGTGAACTTGTTCCCATGCTAAGGCCCTGTCTTCTCTGGAAAGGACTCCATTAAGTATCAGAGAAAACTGCATTTTTTGTCCAAAGGTAGGATCTTTGGTGCCATTGTCACAAAGCCCTCTATCCCAACCCTTTCTAAAACCTGTCCATGTAGGGGACAGAGGAGATCTCCAAAGGCTGAGTGATTGGTCTCAGGTATCTCTAAGTGACTGTGGCAGAGGAGAACCCGGGGCCAGTGTCCAGGCCAGTTGTCTCTATATTCTGTTGCTGCTCATGGGGCCGGAGCTGCCTTGTGGCTCTCCCTGAGTCTTCCACTCCCCCTAGCTGTTCTAGTATGGTCGGGCCCTGTTGAGAAGTGTGTGATGGGAGCTACTCTCTGGGAGCCTTGGCTCCTCCCTGAGTCCTGTCAATCTAGATCCCACCCATCATTTCCATTACTCTGTTATTCCCATTCCGGGCCAGGGAACAGTTCTATTCTTATAGAGGTACATAAAGAGAGCACCAGAGGTGCTGCCTGGGCAGAGAGGCTAACTCATGAATCCATCTGTCACAGGTAATGCTACATGGCTCAGTCCCCAGAGTGTTTGGTGCACAGTTGGATCCTGACTGGATGGACCCCACCGACCCATAGGAAGTCCTCCATGGCTGTGGACACTGTGTTATGTGGGGACTGCAAGTGGCTGTGGTGGCCATGCCCTCAGAATATGAGAAGTATAAGAGAGGCAAGAGACACAGAGACAAAGTGGACCCAGGAGGACAGTGAGCTCTGGGGAGGACCAGTGCCCTGGTCACATGGAGGGGATGGGCACCAGATGAGGGCAGAAGCCTGTAGGGAGAGGTCTGAAGAGAAGAGTCAGAGATAGCCAGGGCAGACCCCACTGTCTGGTAGTGAGGGTAAGACAAGCAGAACTGTGGGCTAAATGCTCACAGGGTCCCAGAGGGGTCCCTGGAAGCATCTTTTGTGACAGGGAAAATGGAACAACTCTGGAGCAACAGGTTTTTTTTTCTGGATGGATTTCTGAGGGGGTGAGATTGGGTGACCTAGACAGTCTGCATTCCGCAGGGGTGCTGGCTTGCAGGGGCTTTTTTTTTAGCTGCTGTGTTCACAGTGAATCAGCGGCAAGGGAGGCGATGTCGGTAGCTTAGAGCAGTGGTTTTCAACCCTCCTAAGGCTGTGGGTCTGTACCTTAGTTCCTCATGTTATGGTCACAACCCCCCAAGCATAAAATTGTTTTCCTTGCTACTTCAGAAGTGTGATTTTGCTACTGTTATGAATCAAAATGTAAATATCTGATATGCAGGATATCAGATATGTGACCTCTATGAAAGTGGT